AAAATTTCGGATTTAAATTCAAGTTTGAAATGTTGAATTTAAATGAGAAATTTTGAAAATCTATCGTATATTGGAGTATGTTATTTTTTGAATCACAAGTTTAATCACCTTCGTCTTCGTATTCTTCTTCGTAATCGAATTCACCGGGCTCCAGGTGACCTAATAGAAAATTGTAATATTTCCGATGCAAATATGATTTTTATGACTGAAATATTTTTTTTCTCCTATGTTATTCCGGTGAATTTTTATGAAATTTCGAGAATTTAAAATTCTTATTTTACTGTTTGCATTGCTACCATTGCAATCTCATTGATGATTCTGAGGATAAGGGAAATTTGATGTTGACAAAGTGAGATAAATCAAGTTTCTTTCTTTTTAAAAACAACAAAATGAAAATGATGGCTTACAATTGCAGAAATAACAGAAATGAAAATAATCAAAATTTACGGCTTACAATTGTAAAAATAACGAATATAAAGATAATTGAAAATTATGGCGCCCAGTTTGCCAGACTCCACCAGATTAACCCAGGATTAATATTAAAATTTATTGCTCGCAAGTATTTTGTACTGAAGATTTATGCTCGACTATTATACCCTCTTGCATGAAACGCGTCATCCTGATCTGCTCTTTGAAAGCAATCTTGAATTTCGCAGTCGTGGCTATTATCTCCTCACGGGTGCCGTATTCTTTGGGAATATCCTCGCGTGATATCACCTTTTCGATAATCCTGTGATGCAGAGTGTCGATAACAGCTTCCGCAACCATCGACTTTGTTGACTCTAATTGCTGCACATCGTAGCAACGTCTTCTCGTGCGATATTTCTTGTACGCTCTCTTTGTACCGGAAACAAAGTTGCTCTCAATTGTTTCCGAAAGTAGAATAGATGATAGAATAATAATCGTAAAAATCTACTTGTATCTTCTAACTATACGATGTCAAAAAAACAGAAAATGATTGTACATAAATATTTTATTTGAAAGAATAACGAAGAACAAATGATAACTAGATGCAAGATTCGTATCAATAAACATGTTTCACAAGAAAATGAATCATTATCAAGTCATTTCATACGTGTTTCTGATTATTCATTGCTAGACTGCGGATTTTTATGCAATTTCATATATTTATATTTTATATTTAATTAAAAAAATAGAAGCTAGACAAGCAATTGTTTTATTCACTAAACATTATAGTGAGTACTATATTTTGGGTTTATTTATTATATGCATTCTGTGTATTTTTGAGTATTAAAAATTACCAAAAATGCACAAAAGTCCGCAGTCCACTTGTGGGTGACGGGAGAATAAACGTACGCGTGCTCGCGCTTGAAATCTTTTATTTAGAAAACCCAGACGAGATGTCTGATGTCGCTCGTGCGGTTGACTCCCTTGGCGTCGTCGGTCGGGACCCTGGCTGCCCTCGGAACGGATCTCAAGTGTCTCCCCGCTTTCCGAGGACAGCCATCCTTTATCGGCCCGCCGCGGCATCGACAGCGACGAAAGACACGTCCGTTGCGTGCGTCTCGCAGTTTGGATTGTGTTTACAATGTGGCGCCGTGCGCGCTGCATAGGCCGCCACACACTCATTACCGATTACTCGTACCGAAAGTTAACCATTACAGCTCGATCTCAAGAAATCTCTTATTCCTCGAAAATTTCTTAAGCAATAGTCTCTTCCCAGAAGCAACAATGTTGCTCGTATATCTACAAATAGTATCTAAAAAACAGGATGACTTCATTTTTCCCGTTTAAGCCTCTAATTGTTATTCCTCCTCTATGCAAATTAAGTTGCCAAGAAAGACGAATTGTGCATTAACGTCACACATGTACACATGTATCGTTACTTGAATAATCGAAGCAGCCTCGTTGGCCTTCTCCAACGTTAATCCAGAGTCATGGTACATCATCTCCATCCAAGCGACCGCTTGAATGGCTTCCGCGGGTTCCAGTATGCGTTCGTCCTTTTTAAGAGGCTCTTCGTCTGCTTCCGCTGAAGAACACCGATATTACCGAATTTTTCAAAAATGTCCAAAATTCGCGGAGAATTCTTGGTGTCACGCGATTACGATCTTACGAGCGTCGATCCTCTGGTTTCTTCTTATGTAGTATCCACGATAAGCGAACTAAATGCGACGATAATTGAGCAATAAGTTTTTGATACTTCGTTTAAACGAGAAACATTACTTTCACGTGTCTTGCTGCTTTGGAAATTTCTGCTTGCGTCGCACCAGCTTTTCTTAAAATGTCCAGTGTATTCGTCACTGCTCTCTGCCATTGAATCTTCCCTTGAGCCTCGTTTAGAGCCATTCTCTCATAGTGACCGCGGAAAGCAGCCTGTTTTCGATTTAAATAAACGTTGAAGTGAAGGTTCGATTTGTCAACCATTTGGACGTGTAATATGAATTCGTTTCTCCTTTGCTAATTCATATATTTCATTTGAAAATAATTTCTTTATATTCAGAAAAGTAGATACTACGAGGGCGGATTGAAAAGTTCGCGGCCTAAGTGGGAAGAACTGCTGCTAGGTGGTTGCAACTTTTACGGTGTAATCTGTGATCATTTGTGTACCGACGTACGAAGTTCCGTGGCTCTCTTTTCCAGCTGGTGAAGTAGGGGTGTTTACAGCGACGGAGAAGAGACGAATAGAAGCGAGGAATGATCCAGTACCTGGTGACAAAGGATTTTCGCAAGAATTTCGAATAATTTTTGCAAGGTCCTTGAATGATCTTTGACGCGAGGTCCTTTATCTTCAGGTATTGTATCACTGTTCGTTTTCTAATTTTGTCCATCTCTACTCCATCTACTGCAAATACCTCTACTTCACTAGCTCTAAAAGGAAGAAAAATGACGACGGAGACACGAAACTGTATACACTAGTACACAATTAATTACATATTATTCGGTAAAAATTACAAGCACTTAGCTGCAATCCTTCATACTTAGGCCGTGAACTTTTCAATCCACCCTAGTATATGTGTGATTGTACAGTTCTTGGCTAAAGTGATTTCAACGATAAGAAATGTCGAAGGAGAAGACAAATTTTTTTTAATGTTCAAGCAATTACTGGAGCGGTCGTTTTGTGATATTTAGAAATCTGATATTTCGCGTTACACCACTTAATGCTGGGTCTTTAAACGCTGACCTGTATCACTGTGGCGGCGCGTTCAGCCTCCTCTCGCGTCGACCCTGTAGCTTCTAGGATGCTTCTTATGGATATCATGGATTTCTCGTCGCATGTTGGATCTAAGTTTGAAACGATCTATGGAGAATTTGACGCTAAAGCAATCGGGTTAAAAACGATCCACTTGCAACTTAAAAAAAGGAACAACGTATGTTTAATACTTTCCCACTTTATTTTCTGCATCTATATTTCTATTAGATAATTGCAAAAGTTCGTGCCCGATTTTAGAGGTTGCGAGAACCTTATCAACTTCGACAAAGATGTTTCTTTCAGCGTAATGTTACATTCCTATCGAACAATTATTCATTTCGTTCCGTTTCAGTTTCGAACGAAATCTGCTTGTGCACACACCGATTGTGTTTTATTTTCAAAACGAACCCATGAATCTAATTCTTCAATCACGTTTCAATTACATAAAAATTCACTTTCGGAAAGTCGCCAGTGGGTCAATCTCGACCCAGACGGTCATTCTACCGTTGAACGTAATTGAAATTTGAAAAAATTCACATATTATCGTCTTGTCGCATTATTCAAGCAGAAGCATAGAATAGAAGCTGCAATAAACGAGTATAATCTTTCGTAATAATCTCTAATATCTTACGAGTGGAATCAGCAGTCGTCGTTAGCAGTTACATCTTAAATTACTCTTCAGGTGTGTTATTCCCTTTAAACGATTAAATTTGCGAAAATGTCTGTTGGAAAATTCCAACTTCATTTCACCAAATCTAAGTTCTACAAACTCGTCCATTAACGTTAATCGTACCAGCTCTTCATATTAAATTTGACTTGAAATCAATTCGAAATTGAAGTACAAAAAAGTACTTGGAAACTATATCGCTGTAACAATACAATTTCGCCAAATCTAATTTCTACAAACTCGTTGTTAATCATAGTAATTCCTATAAACTCGTCCATTCCAAATTTCACTTCAATTAATTCGAAATTGAACTACAAGACAATGTAACAATACAATTTCAACAAATTTAATTCCTACAAACTCGTCCATTCCTGGTGATCATAGTAATTCCCAGAAACTCCTCTATTCGTGTCAATCATACCATCGCTTCACCTCAAATTTCACTGAAATTCATTCGAAATCGACTTACAAGAAAGTGCTTAAACACTGTATCACCACTGTAACAATACAATTTCACCAAATCTAATTTCCATCCTCACTAGTCACCATCCTCTTAACGAAGCCTCGTAAAAACCGTTCGATCTAAAGAATCACTAAAACCAGCGTCGATATGAACCGTGGCCGGCAACGTGTATCTTTATTCCCCGCATTTTATAACTCTCCCCTGAAACGAGTCCGCTCTAAAGCAGCCCGCTTAAAATAATAACGTTTACCAGTTCCTTTTTTTTTTACGATTCATTCACCGCTCCCTTACCGTCGCATATCTGTACCGGTTGCGTGTCAACTGCGTCCAAGTACTCGCGGAATGCTTTCTGCAAAAGGAACGAAAGAGAAAAAAGCGGCGATAAAAGGAGAAAATGTAGGCAAGTAGTGGACGAAAATATCGCGTCGGCATCGACAAGCCTCTCTAGCACGCGATAGTAAAATTTACTTGGATCCGCGGAGCCGCGACGGCGATCTGCTCCAAAGTGAAACCGGATCGGTAAAGTATGCACAAAATCGCCTGGCTTCCCAGCAGAATGTTGTTTACGACTTTGACCGCAACTGGAACGACAGTAACGGGGTTTAATGGCGTGGTTGCTCGTGCCGAAAATAAAAAGGAGAAGAAAAGAAACGAAAGGGGAAACGATAAAGCTTGTTGCGGCGGGAGAAGTTCGTATTAGAAGGAAAGATCCTCTGGGCGAGAGAAATGTACTTTTCGTGTTTTCGCGCGTGATCAGAAGCGTGTCCACGTATTCTGCGATAAAGGCGTACAGGTTTGACGGCTGCGAGCGGAGAACCTGTTTTCGATTAGAAAATCCACTGTTAACCGTTAGATCGAGATTCGCGATTAAATCGATAAGGGGGGGATTTAATTGATCTGTTCGATGTTTTACGATCGCTACGACGAGGAAATGCTTGATTCTTTACGATCACCCGCGTATACAAATGTTATTTATGCTCTCTATTACGTAGAGATACATGCAAAGAAGTTTCGAAGATAGAGCTAGCAGTTTATTCGAATAAATATCCCTCCTCGATTATTGTTCGAACACAGTTTGATATATATCGTACAGTTGTGGTGTGCAATTTATTGTGTCGAATGTATAAACAAAGGGAAATTTATTTTACCGTTACCCGAGTGAAATAATGGGTAATAAAGGTGTCGTAGGATTTGTTGAAACGTGGAATAGAAATGTTTGCGGTGTTATGTACAATTGGACGATACAAAATTTCGAACGGGAAACTTTCATTTCTATTCAGAATGTGACAAAATTTCAAGATTCGCGTTTTCACCGGAGAATCGATAAAACACGATACGCTAATTTATTCGGGTCTTAACGAACCTGAAAATTTCATTCGAAGACGGAATTGTTTATTTCACGTTTCGAAGATGTTACTTTATTCGTACGCGAATGAATTTTTAAAATTTGGAAATTTAGAACGAAGCATTTTTTTTTAACACGTTTGAACAGATGTCTGTCTTAATTTTAGTCGCAGTGAAATAAAATACGACGCTGACAATTTAATCTCGATTTTTAAAAAATAACGAAATTTTTTTTGCGATAAAAATATATCTAAATTTTCGTTAAAATCACACATACTTCCCTCGAAATGTCAGTGCAAAGTTCTCTCAACCCTTCCGGCACCTTGTAAATATGTTTAGCCTCGTGTTTTTGAAGTATAACGTCCATTTCTCTAATTCACCTAACAATTAAGTATAAAAATAGTTGGAAGTGTTTCTCAAGGGAAAATCCTTGTTCGAGGTATTTTGCACGTTGGACAATATTATTTGACCGTCAATCTAGGAGAAATACAGATCTATTTTGTTTTACAAATCATCCTGCGCCTGCGTTCAATTCTCGTTTTTAATATATACGTTCAGACCGTGATATTAATCTGGCGATGAGCTACTCTGGATCAATTAAATCCAGGCCGGAAAATGTTATTTCGTTTACATCTGACTCTACGTTATTAAACCATGTCACATGTATATTGCTTTATTTTTGGCGAAAAATTCAATCGCCTCGATAGCTTTGCCGATATCTGTCATCGTCGGATTAATAAATAGTGTAATGAAGTTGGAAAAGGTACACCAACTGGGATTATAGTAATTAATAAAATTCAATTTTTAAATATAAGAA